CCCCTTCCAGCTCCACCCTGGGAGCAACAGCCACATCGCTTAGTCCCTGCATCGATCCTCGCTTGATTGTGTGGGTTGAATGTTCCGTCCAACCTAAGCCAATCAGACCTCGTAGATCGACTATTGCCAAACATTGGTTCTCTGTCTTTCCTTGCAGTTTCCCCATGTCCGCCCCAGTATCACCTCTGCATTTGTCATCAGGGGATCCCTGTTTCTGCGAGTTTGCCCTACAAAGCGGCGGTTCTATTTCTGTGATATTTAGTCGCTGATGTTGTTATCTCGGAAGTTTCGCGCCTCGCTTCCATGCATGTGGACTTTCTGGATGTATTATATGGTATGTTGTATGATGCGCCAACCAACGAATCGGAGATGTAATAACAAACGTTTCAGCATATTGCGAGATGTGAGAAGATTATCCATATGTAGACGTTACTATGGTACCTACTCAAAAGGGCAGATTATGATTACAAATGTACATTGTTTTGTATCGCAGGTCTACATTGTACATTGTATGTACGTCTAGCCCTGTAGATTACCAATGAGCGGTCATCGGACAAAGAACCAAGCCATCGGCCCGTATGCCGTCGCATCTCCGAAAAGAAAATGGAGTATTAAGTAATCCCGATACTTCCACCGAAAATGCAACACATGCCATCAATGGAGTGTGTCCGTGTCATTATCCGTTTTATGGAACAACTTGAACATGTACAACGTATTTACCCTCAAACAAGGATCACGGCGTATTATGGTGGAATCAATGCATGCTCCCATCACCCTCAAACGTGAAAAGAGATATGGAATATTCCATGCCACGTTGACCCGTTCGACAGTCTCAACTGCCAATGAAAAAGACAGCATGCAAGGTGCAATGCACGAATCAGAGACGCAGCGCAGCGTGTGGCTGAGACCACCGCCCTTGCAAACGAGTTGCCCTGTCTGTCTCTCGGTGATTTTTTCTTCCCCAGACTGCCTCAACTGGTTTTGTGATACCTTGGCGAACCTTTGTTTTTGCCTTTTCCTTTTCTGGTTTACACTCCTCTCCTTTCAAAGTTCCATCTCCTCGTCTTCTTCCGAAACCCTGTGCTGTGTTTGCCATAGCCCCGTCCTCCGAACCTCACCATGACGGCAACTACCGCTCAAGCTGTTTTTACCAACCCTGAGGTCGAGGAGAAGGCCAAAGTCGAAATACCATCCTCAACAATCGCCCAGAGCGATGACGATGGGTCTGCGCAAGACCAGACCTCGAACACCGCCGTGTCGACTCCCGCGACGGACTCCGAGCGAGGAACGAAGCCGCCAGAGGATGTGAGGACGCTTCGTGGTCTCAAGGTTCGTATTCTTGCCTCCACCGGACTCGGGTGCAGTACGTGTCGCAATGTCGTCCGAGAAAACTGACGAACCGTCTCCCGACCATCAGTGGTTCTTCGCGTACACCTCTTTGCTTTCCACCACGTTGTTGTATGCCCTCGATGGTACCATTGTAAGTGCAAAAGAAGAAAAAAAAAAAAAAAAATTGAAAAAAAAGAAGAAGAAAAAAGAAGAAAAGAAAAAAAAAAAAAAAAAGAAACCCTTCGAGACAGCAGCTCACATCGACTTCAGGTCGCGGCCATGCAACCCTCTATCCTCGACTCCTATGGCGAGACCGAAAAGCTGCCGTGGATTGGAGTCGGAATGTTCCTCGGAGCCTTGACCGTCCTACCCATGTAAGTCATCCGTTTCGTTTGTTCTTCCGACTGTGTCCTCTCACCATGGCGACATGTCCTGCTCACCAACATTCCTTCCCCGAATGCAGTGGAAGAGCATTCGGAGTCTTCAACGTAAAGTGGCTCTTCATAGGTCTTGTCATCGTCTTCGAAGTCGGTAGCGTCCTCTGCGGTGCTGCGCCCAACATGGACGCCTTCATTGTCGGACGAGTCATCCAAGGCGTGGGCGCATGCGGCTGCTATCTGGGTGCCGTGACGTACATCTCCATGACCACCACCGTCCGCGAACGACCCCTCTACCTCTCCGGCATCGTTGCCACCTGGTCCATGGGCAGCGTTCTCGGGCCTGTCGTGGGCGGCGCATTCGCCCAAAGCAGTGCCACGTGGCGCTGGGCCTTCTACATCAACCTGGTCATCGCAGCCGTCTTCGCGCCGCCCGTCATTCTTTGCCTGCCCAACATCGACCCGGCCGCGGATATGACGTTTGTGGAGAAGCTCCTCACCCAGGATTGGGCGAGCATGGTCATCTTCTTGGGCGGCGCCGCCTGCCTGGCCATGGCTCTCACCTTTGGCGGCACCGTGTACGCTTTCGACAGTCCGCAAGAAATCGCCCTCTGGACCTTGTCCGGCGTCCTGCTCATCGTCTTCGTCCTGGTTACCGTCTATCATCCGCTGGTGGAATATCGACACAGGTTGTACCCCATCCACTTGATGAAGAGTATGGAGCTCAACATTCTGCAATTTGCCATTTTCATGGCCGCCGGCGCCATGGTGACGAGTCTGTACTACATCCCGCTGCTGTTCCAGTTCACAAGGGGTGACGGGGCCCTGATCGCCGGTGTACGACTACTGCCGTTTCTGTGTGGCATGGTGTTTGCTTCCGTTGCGAATGGCGCCTTGATGCCGAGGCTGGGCTATTACATGCCGTGGTATGTGCTGGGCAACGGTCTCATCCTGATCGGCTCTGCACTGATGGGTATGTCCAAGACACCCCTTTCCCCTCTTTTCTTCCCAGTCTGGATTTGCCTGACAAGTTGTACGACAAAAGTTACCGTCGAAGTCTCAACGTCGGATGCCCACATCTACGGATATACCATTATTCTGGGAGTTGGGTGCGGTGCCTTTTTCACATCAGGCTTTTCCGTCGTCCAAGCTCTCGTTGAGGCTTCCGAGCTCAGCAACGCCATTAGTTATATGGCCATCGGTGCGTGAATATCCCTCACCACCATCCATCCCCCCAAACTTTGACGGAGCTAATATCGGCCTCAACAGGGCAAACATTGGGCCAAATCATTATCCTTAGCCTGGGGGGCTCCCTGTTTCAAAACATCGGCGCGCAACGGCTCAGCGAAATTCTCCCGGGTGTCCCGCAGGAGGAGATTATCGAGTTGACCACGGGGACTCACAGTGCTGTCTTCGAAGCCCTGGACGGCGAGATGCAGGCCCAAGTTGTACACACAGTAACCATGGCAATTCGCAACGTCTTTTACGTTTTGCTTGCTACTTCGGCGCCAGGCTTGATCGGATCCCTATTCTTGAGTGTGAGTATTATCCTGACCGATACTTATCATTACGACTCCCCAGCCATGATTGCTGACTTCACACGTGTAGCGCCGTAAAATATATTAAATTGAAGGTTTCGCATTGCTTCAACTGCTCCGGCATCCTTCAAACTCAGTTTATGAATAGGCTTTACTTCTGGCTTCATCACGTTGTACGACGCTCATGTTTGCTCCATTTTGTATATTCTTCAGACTGCATAGATAGATATTATAGAAGCCTCAAGCTGGCTACGAGCTCTGTAATGTCCCCATCATCTCGTCCCGATTCTAGGCGCCATCTGGATGTTGGTATAGAATGCCTTTGTGCTGGAGCTCCTATATCTTACAGTCATACCGCCGTTAGGCGAGTTAGCAATACCACACTCTTATTCCTCCCGTAGCTCAATGGCATGAACTATTGCTGATTATCGTGCTACAGTCTTTCCTCTGCGCCTCTGTCTCTGAGGGCACCATGAAAGATGACAACAGCGGTTAACACAGCCTACGACAACGGCGCGCCTTCTGTCAAGTAGAAGCATCCATTTCATAAACTTGAGTCCCGTGTTCGAATTTATGGATCATGGAGCTACTACGGCAACGATGAAAAGAGCAGCCGCAAGTCAGACAGCACGGTACATTATTTGGATTTCACCCGTTGCATCGAACAAGGAGATTGCATGTGAGATATAAATGTAGTAGAAACTATCGTACTACTCTGTTCTAGTCGGCCTTGTTACCCTCGCCATCGGCATACTCAGAGTATTCCTTCATCAGATGTCCCATGTCGAACTCGAGAGCCTTTCCATTGACAATGATGGGCATGACATCCAACATGACAAAGACCATACGAGCCGGCTTCTCATCGGAGGTGTTGCGCCAACGGTGCATAGCGCCACGGTTGATGGATACATCACCGGGCTGGAGAACCCGCCTGTAGCTGCGATCGTCGCTCAACGTCAGCTCGATCTCTCCCTCGCAAACCGTGCCAATGCCGAGGGTGAGGGCACGATGCAGGTTGGATTCGGTGCCGGGAGCAAAGTCGATCATTCGGACGACACAGCCATTGGGAATATGGAGAGCAGGCTATATATATATATATATACCCGATAGATGCGATCGAGTCAGTCAACGTGCGGACATGCAAAACCAGGCGGCGTGTATAGCGAGAGTGTGACTGCGGACGAACCTTGTTGTTCTTTGCGTACTCAATGTCGACATCATCAGTGAGCTCGACGGGGTTGCCCTTGGCGCTGTAGATGATATTCTGGGCCGCAGCACCGCCCAGCATAGCGTCGCGGTGGTCGCCATGGTCCGTCTAATCAGATGAGAAATGAGCAATGACACCCTGACAGGTGGAGGGAGAGTGGGGAGGATTTTCGTTTCTTTTCTTACAACCAGGAAGACGGGCTCTCCCTTCTCATTGTGTCCGGTGATGTAGCGGTTGGGCTCACGAAGACCCGGAGCGGGAAACCCAGTACAAGGACCCGAAGTCGACCCTAAATTCGACATTTTCAAATTATCTTGAACTTGGACGGACGAACGTAAGGACAGAGTGAAGTTTGTCAAAGCAATAGACTTGTGGGACGTGCAAGAGAACTGTTGTGACGGGACTGGCGGGACAAATCCTATCAACGGTACAGAGGAAGCTGTTAAGTACTTTTAACTACCGGTACCATTACATCGATGAGGACCATGGGTGATTAATGTTGGAGGGGAACCAGGAGGGGTTGCTCAACCCCGCGGTTCTGAATGTTTCCATATCGTAAACGTGTGCTACTCAGGATCCATTTTTTTCATGACTTTCCATCTTGTTCTTCATACTTGTCAAATTCACTAGGCGAGTCACCGAGCGTCGCTGTTTGGTGTTCATGCATCATCATCGTCATTGCATGGGACATGATGCCGTACAAACTCAACACGGGGTACGGGATGCGGAGATACCGAGTGGCGCTTCCGTGACTCTTAGCCGAAAAAGGAAGTCTGACTGTGGGTAACGGTGCGGGGTACCATGCCGAAACGCCACGCGTGGGTCCACTCTATCTACCCGCCCCATGCAAGAATCCTACGGGGTGGAATGGGGGCAGGTGGAGAAGTACAACTTTACAAAGTATACCGCCCCCCACCCCCCCCGCTTCCCAATCACCCAACCCCTGAGGGTCCCTCGTGCCTCGAAATCTAATGGACAATGGAAGATGGATATTAAATGCATGTAAGCAAATCCCGGCCAGGCCAGGGGCTATGCAGGCAACTCCACATATTCAGATGAAAGATTGGACTCGGTTGATACAGGCACTCCTTATTCCATTCCCAGGGTATCACTGCATCCTTATGTCGACATCGGCTACCCTAGCGGCTGGATCTAGCCCAACTGCGCTGAGTGTTTCGACGCCGCATAATTGTCTCAACAGGTGCAGCGGGATGAATACGACATGATCCTCGGAGGGGAAGCGGTCGATCTTTCCTCCGTCACCATCAACTTATCGCCGATCGGCATGCAGCATAGCCGCATGCGCCACACCGATATGCGAGTAACTACCCCGTCCTGTTTTGGGGGAGTGGCATTGAGGGGTCGGAGGTCTGATTCCCCGCTTCGCGTTTCTCGTTTTTGCCCGTTAAGATTCCCGGGCCAAAGAAAACCGAGGGGTGAAGCGAGTATCTATCTTACATCTGTTCATGTTCAGCAGCGCGAACAAGTCAGAACACAACTTCATCTCCCTTACCATCTGTGTCTAGGTCAAGAAACCCGACACTATTCAGCAGTATCACAGCGCCCAATTCAATCACAATGGCTGACAACGGAACTATCCCCCCGAAGCCTCTCCCCGAATACTACGTAGGGAACTTCCCTGCGCCGGGACTGCGCCAGATCGTTAGGCACATCACCGGCAACACTTCAGATGGCCAGTCGCGTTTCCTCATCTCGGACCATGGCGAGCACTACCGCTACATGGTTGAGAACCAGGCAGTGGCCAACATTCTCTACTCTACCAGGGAGAACCCCGTTGACATGAACGACAACGTGGACATCATCAAGGCCCGTGAACAGGAGGTTAGTTCTGCCCGCTTCTGTCCTAAACCAAAGGAAAACGTGTCTTTGATTTGCTAACGAGACATTCCTTCATCAGCCTCCCTTCCACTATCCCAATGGATCCATCGTCCGCATGATTGATTTTGGTCCCGGGGTCGCGTCGCCTCTCCACCGAGCTCTGACGATCGACTTTGGCGTCGTTATCGAGGGAGTCTTTGAGCTCACTCTGGACTCGGGCGAGAAGCGAATTATGCGCCAAGGTGATATCTGTGTCCAACGGTCCACCAACCACGTATGGAAGAACGTCACCGGCAACGGAACCTTGCCGGGACGCATGTTGTTCCTTTTGCTCGACGCCAAGGAGGTCAAGGTTGACGGTAAGAAGGTGGAGGGCGATCTGGGCGATTTGCAGAAGGAGTACAAAGGGCGTGGTACCTACTGATTTTGTAAATATCGTCTCTGCATATATGAAATCGGACTGGCAAGCACTATGGATTTCCTGGACCTGAACCATGCTGATGTGTGATGGGAAACGTCGAGTGGCTGCCATGGAACATGCGTCTTTCGAGATTTGATAGTATTCCTAATGCTGTATGAGGTCCATTTTTGTATTTCCTTTTTCTTTGGTTGCATTGCTTTTGTTTTGTTCTTGTGATTGGGTTTTTGATCATGCATCTGTCATGTCCTCTTCTCTCGGAATACTAGACAATTCGAATTCTTATTGCCCCAGTCCGTCATACAGCTGAAATCCGAAAGTCCCAACATCGCCTGTTTTCAATGCGTCACAATCAAATGGAATCTTGTTCTGGGCAGCCCTTTCGTACGACTCATGTGCATCATAACCATTCTAAACCATCATATGTATGCTACACCCGGTCTCGAACCGTGGAGGGACGCGTCTTAATCACTCAGAGAGCTGCTCATCCTTCCAAATCAGCCCCTCCGGCACAGTCCTCCACTGGCCGTTCCCGTCAAGTAGCTTTGCCACTTCTTCCCACTCCTCCCTCACAGCCTTCTCCTTGAAAGCACTCCTGGGCACAATCCTGGTTGGGAAGGGCTTGGGACATGCCATGACGCCTTCGGCTAGCTCGTTCATATCCGGGATAAGCTCCTGCTTGGTAACGGGGTCGACCTCCCTTTTGAAGTCAAAGGCCCAGAGCAGGCGCGAGATGGCCAGATAGATCGAACGATCGGCAATGTGCATTCCCGCGCACCTGCGTCTTCCTGCCCCGAAAACGAAGTGGTCCCGCTTGGTCGGGTCTGGGTTGTTGGCCGCGTCAATGGACGTCTGGTGATCGTCTATGTAGCGCATTGGGTCGAACTCGCGTGGAGACGGGTGTCTCTTAGGGTCCATATGTATCCCCCTATTCGTAACGTGAAGAGAAAGAATAAGTCAACACTCAGAAAATGTTCGAGAGGGGTAAAAAAAGAAAGAAAAAAGAGACAGAAAAGGGGGGGGGGGGGGGGGAAAAAAAAAAGACATCACAAACTAAACGTAATAAGCTGAGTGCACCACTTACCAGACGTTAAGTATGATCATAGCATCTTTGGGAATTCGATATCCAAGATATGTGTCGTCTTGCGTGACTCTGTGCGGTACGCCCAGCAGGAATCCGGGCATCCAACGCAAGCTCTCCTTAGCGCAAGCGCGGATATAGGGCAGGTCGTGTACATCGTTGAGGTCGGGCAACCGGTCGCCGCATACGCGGTCGAGCTCGGCTTGCGCCGTCTTAGCCACCTCGGGGAAGATGACCATCGCTTGAATGAAGCCGACCAAGATACCCGCCGTCGTCTCAGATCCAGCTTGCAAGATGGAGCCGCTGATATATGCGGCAAGGTCGTCGGTGAGTTGTTCAGTCTTTTGAATCTTGACGAGATCCACGCAAATACATGGCTGTAGTCCCTGAGCATCAGACAACTGTGATCCAGTGCGTTCGCTTAAGGGGAAAGGACGGATCATACCTGGGCCGTGCCGTCTTTCAGACCTTGTTTCGCCTTGAGATAGTGCCCAAGGAACAGCTTCTTTTCCCTCTGGTGTATCTCCCGGCCTTCCTTTTTGAGGGGGAGCGCAAAAGCCGGCAAGCGCCTGAGTATGGGCATCAGATCTAGCAGCGCGGCAGTCTAAGAGACGAGAGACATCAGCCCTGGAAGGTAGTCAGTCGAGGAATGAATCCGCTCTGCACTCACCCGGGACCCAATCATCTCCGAACTTCGATCGAAAATCTGAGAAGATTGTTAGCTTTCCGTCCACAGGATCGAAGTCTGGATCATGACGCAAGACATACATCAAAGGCCTCCTTGAACCTCTGGTCCTGGATACTCGTGGTACGAAATCCGAATGTCATTTGAGTAGTCAATGAAGCCGTGTATCGACGAACATGGTCAATAAAATCGTCTGGGTCCTCTAAAAGACCAACAAGCATGGCTTTGTTCTCGAGATCCTGGTAAGGGACGTAGCTTCGTGCCGCCACAACACCGAGGATTCGATGAACAAATTTCCTCGCCATCTTCCAAATTGCATTGTTTGGCTGTGACCCCCTCGACCGTCAGTAATCAGGACGCTCGCATACTCGCCATGTCCGTAACATTCGACCGCAGCGAACATGAAGAGGGACAGGACGGCCTTGAACCCACCATGAATAGGACCCGGAGTCCGCCACTTAGAATATCTTGGGCGATATAAGCTTCCGGTCTGGAGGAGTAGATATTGCCTCGCTTGTCCACGAGGTCTTTGATTGCGTGATCAGAGTTGAGGACAATCATGACCTTAGTCCCCAACATCAGTGAGTAGACCGGCCCATACTCGCGTGCCCATTTTTCGAATTGTACGTGGCGTTTGTCTGTCGGGATCTGGTGCAAGTTGCCGATGAGAGGGAGAGTAGGCGGACCAGGAGGGTAATCTCTAGGCCGGCGTCCGAGTTTGCTCAACTGCCAGAGCACGGCCAGGAAGGCCAAAACGTACACCACCAAAGGGCTGGCGGCCTGTTGAGGAAGCAGCTCAGTGATTTTCTCCATTTTCCACAAACTTCCTAGATCGGCCGTTTGGAGCTTGGAGGTGCAGTCCGAAAAGACCAATGGAACGAAACGGAGGGAGTTACAATTTCTACCGATGATTTATGCCTTGGATGATCTCGAGCCGAAGCGAACCTCCTTCATTTGCTTACGTGCTTCCGTCGTACATCCTGTGGCGTTGAAGGGTATGCAACACAGACGGCTGGCGAGGCGAGATCTGCAACTGCAGGCTCAAATTATATCACGGTGCAGCATGTAGGATCTCGCCGGAGGCCTGGAAAAGGGAACGGGAACGGGAACGGCTGAATTTGAAGAGATCTTACTTCGTACCTTATCCGGGGTCAAGGTAGTTTCATCATGCATGCATGGCGTAATCGGTATCGATAGGATCTGGCCTAATAGGTAAGGCATACGGAACAGCCCAATCGAAATTGGCACGCGATACGTGGGCCCGCCGACGCATGATTGATTGGGGGCAGGCGTGGTAATGGGAAAGTGTAACGGCAAATATGAAGATGTATGAGAGAAGCTATCGGGTGGAGTTTGAACCCCAGCCGGCAACATACCTACCTAAGGTAGGTAGATATTTAGGCATGTACATAATATGTATCTGTGACCCAACCCTGTTGGTGGCACGGTCTGGCTTGCGCCACCATATCGGCGGTTGTTAGGGCTAGGATTATGGATTAGGGGTTGTCTTGTTCCACTATCGGAAATTCGGCACGAGTGGGGCTTGGGGACGATGTAACTCGGGGTCGCAGTATACACCTATCTACCTACAACGTACACTATACACTGACACTGGCCCACTTTACTGTTATATCACGTGACTGTCTTGAGCCGGTACCGCTACTACGGCCCGGGCCCGTTTTCGACTTTTAGCGGTATTGTTCGGGGAATACCTGTCCGTTATATGTACACTGTAACTGTATAACCCCACTTATCTGGGTACTTTTGTATTGTATAGCTTTATACTAAATGCCGTTGTGCTTAATTATAGGGCTTCTCTATAAGTTTGATATTTAAACTGTCCTAGTATATACTATGCTATTCTACTATGCGAGCCTCGAAAATATAATAAAAAAATAAAATAAGAAATAGGATAGAAACGAATTAAAAAATAGAATAAATATATAGTATAAAAGACTATATTATTTATTAATATTCTATATATTATAAGAGTTATTAGATAAACAAGACTCTTATAGATACGGGATTAAACGATTAGTTATTTTATTTAGTACTTTAGAAGAAGGTTATTAGGTGCTTAGGGGGGGTTGGGGGGCTGGGGTTGGGGGGTGTGCTATTATATACGTACCCCCCGCAGGGGCGAACGCAGCGGCCGTGCCCGTAGGTCAAGCTGCTAAGCTCGTTTCGCTTTAACCGTACGCAGGCTGGAGGTATTTGTGTAAAATGGGCAAGTCACCCCTCCTCCCGCAATATCCCAATCTCTCGACAATTAGCAGGTCTCCTCAGACCCTCTGACACAACCAACAAATCACTGCAACGCAACGAAACGGAGTCGATGATGACCTTGAAGAATGCCAATTCAAGTCACTTCCCATGGCGTGGTCGCACTGGTGTGATACCCCTAAAATTAGATTCCCTTCTCATCTAACGGGCAAAGGCACAATGACAAATCTAACAGGTTCTGTCTGTGGTCGCTTTTAGGTGATGCCAATCTCATTACGGTCACTCCCTATTGCATGGAGAGCGCCCCATCGGACCGCGACCCAAACATCTCCAGCCTCCGACTGTCATGGCCAATTGCCGGCGACAACAGACGCTCTGTGGTTGGAAGGTCTCCGGAGTCGAATGGAGACAGAGAAGGAGATTTTTGCGATACACGGTTCGTCCATGTTTCACATTGCGACATGGAGGCGCATTACCAGTTTTCCAAGTCGAAAAAAAGAGCCGGTGAGCCGCTGCCCCTTTACTGTTTCCCAGTCCCAAGACGTTTTCTTTTTCTTTTTCTTGTTCAGTCCCTGTCCGTTGCAAACGAAAGAAGCACGGGCCAAGGTCTAGAACATAACATCGTGGACGATGGGGAAGACGAAGCAGACCTTACTCAGCGCTTTGTTGCTTGTAGTTGATTAACACAGGTTGCAGGACATGGGCAGCAACCTATTCTACAGATACCCCTGGCATGGAATTCGCTGAAACTGGAAGTCGGAACCAAAGAATTGCTGGAGTACTGTGCGTCACCCGGACGAAAAGACATTTGGCAGGTCCATTGACTGAACGAGTCTAGTCCAATACGCTGCTTCGCAGTCGCTTGCCATTTTCGGCCAGGAGCCGACGATTCTGGGTGATGTCCTTTGCCGGATAGCGCTCACCGGCAACACGGCCTCTTCCAGAGCGGCGCTACAGTCGTTGCTCGCCCTGTCCGCACTGCACCGGCGGCATGACGTGCATTCGCAGGCGGTGGAGCTCAAAATCGCTGCTCTGAAGTCTCTGGCAGCCGGAATGGAGAATCAGATTGGCATCAGAGAGGCAATTCAACATGTTGCTGCAGGGATGCTGTTGTGTTCTTTCGAGGTCAGTACTAAGCAGTCAGGGACTTTCTCCCCCTACCCACACCCCCCCCTATTCCATATTCTCCGAAAACCTTCTCCCTCCCATGGCACGGCGGGCCCGCAGGCTACTCTAAAGCTTTGACGTCTTTTTGGCTGACTTTGCCCACTTATTAGATCCACCGCGCATCTTGTACCTCGAGCGACTGGATGCAGTACCTTCGTGGAGCCAAGGACATCATCCGGGCTGCGGGCCTTGACAAGATTGACCAGGATGACGATTTGGCCATCTTGCTGGACTGGGTGTACTACCATGATGTACTATCACGTTTCACCCTGGGCCACTGGCACAGAGACTCCGTGGCCATCACATCAAAGCCGTCCGATATCCGGGCAGAGGTACGTCCTACATGAACGAATGCATGCAGACTACGGGCCAGCTAGGTACCGGAAACTGCATGTGCCGAGGAAAGTGTTCTTTTCTGACGGATTCGCAGCCTTCACGTACCGCACCGCCCGCATTGGCTATCATAGAGTTGCTTTCGGAAGTTTGCGACGTCATCTCTGCTGGACCGCCAACTCGGGGATCGACTAAAGACATGGACGATCACAAGGAGTTTTTGAAAATCCTCGACTGGAGAATCAGGAGCCTCGAGCTGGCCGGCATGGCGAATAATTGTCCAGAGACGCTCCTCATGCTGGAATTGTACCAGCTGGCTATGCTGGTCTACCTGAACCGGGCGTCCGGTGATCTACTCAACCAGTCGGCTCGGACGAAACAGCAGATCGAGAAGGCTTTCATTATTTTCCCCCTTCTAGGATCCTGTGACCGGCAGTTTCCGGTCTTTGTCCTAGGTTGCGAAGCCAAGACGGATGAGCAGCGCGCGGTCGTCCTCGATCTCATCTCGCGGACCGAACCCAGGGATTCCTCCCGGTCGTTCAATTATGACAGGCTGCTGACGCAGGCCATATGGGCCCAAGATGACCTAGCTGATGGAGACTTGGATTATTCAGACAAACTGAGTCGTGGGATTAGCCGGTGTTCTATTCTGCCTACGTTTGTGTGACCCTAGATATGGGGGTGGCTGGTTTTGGCTTCTTTGGGGGGTGGATTTTTGTCAGCGTTGCTGGTACGTATCTGGGCGTTATTAGACCAAATTGATAAGGAGACGATTGTTTGGGTTCCTCCAGCTACCGAGAAACTTTCGCATCGCACTCTCGACCTTATAAGAGGATTAAGGTAGTTATGTAAGGTAGGTAGTAACTATGTTCTATGCCCACTGCAGACGTTACTTGTAAGTAATCATATTCTAGCACGTGAGTCTTGATAAGGTGACCTCCTATTAGTTAGAGGTGCCCTACTATCCTCGCTTCGGAAGGTGGCAGATATATTTAGAATATATATACCCGCCCCCTTTTTCTTTCTCTTTTATATATAATATAATTATATATTTCCTGAATTAAGGCTTTATATAAGCACTCTCCCGTTAATTTAATAGTTATAAGCCCGGGTGGTAGTAGTAATTAATAACTTCTTACTAATCTATTATCTATATTTATTTTTATATATACTTTTATAGTATTATAGAGCCCTCCTATACTCGCTCTCTTAATAATAAGCTCTTATTCGCTAAACCCTTACTAGATACTATATCGAATAAGCTTAAGATCACGGCTAAAGCGCTTAGAATCCCGCGCCTTAAATCTACGCGGTAATAGGCTAATTAGATCTTCTATATCTAGTCGTATATCTAGGGGATAAAGGTCTAGGTATTACTTAATCCTAGTTAAAAGCATTAACTAAATAACCGCCCTAAGTATATTATACCTAAATCCCTAAATTAATCACGCGAATAATACTCCTAAGGCGAGGGTAATAATACTATTATACCCTTAATATAAAAGCTTATGAGCCTTACTAAAATTAAGAATTAGTATATTATAGCCTAGAATAAAAAGCTTAGTCGCTTTATTACGGCGCTTAATAAGGCTAATTAACTACTTAAAACTATTATAAAGACCTTTATTTATTAATAGGTTATCGAAGAGGGTATTAAGAAATATCCCGGCTATAAATAAAAAAAACCCCGATACTTTATATTACGCTACGTAATAAAGGAATTTAAGACTAGCTATACTCCGAGTAGTATTTATATAAAGGAAAAGGTAAGATAAGTATATAAAAAGTATCTATAAAACGCGTATTAAGCTAATACTAAAGTAGCTATATAGTATATAGAGTAAAATACCCTTATTAGACGCGTATATTAGTAAAAGGTAGCCGAGATTAAAGGACTTCTTATTATTCGAAACTTCCTTATAGTAGTTAGATAGAAGTTTACGCTTATTTAGGTAAAAACTAAGCTTTAGGAGCTAATAATAAAAAAGGTCCACGGCGATCAGATTTCTAATCTTCTAATATACGGCCGCGAGTTTAACGCTATTATAAGCGCTCTAACTATAAATAGTATACACTATAGCGTTTATATGACCCTAGGAGACCGCTTAAATAATAATTAAGGCGGAAAGAAGCCTAAGAAGAAAAGCACTAATTACCTTTATCGACGCGAATATATATAAAAGCTAGAGTAGTATAATAAGCTTAAGTACGCTTTAACCAGAAAATATAAGTAAAAGTCTAATACCTATATTAATAATAAGTAGTATAAGGAGATCCGGAAAGAGATTAAGCTCCTAAAGTAAAAAAGATTACGCGAAAAATTATCGAAAAAGGGATAGGAAAGCTTAAAGAGCGGCGGTAATAAGAGTAAAGCTAAATATCCTAAAAAGGTTATTATAACTATCCTAGATCTAACCCTTATCTATACTATAAAAGAGGTTACTAGGATCTACGCCGCGCTCTAACCTAGCTCTTACCCGCTCTTATAAATCACTCTTAATAATAATTATAGCGTAACTTACCTTATTTACTTAATTAACCTACTTATTCTAGGTTCTTTTATTCTAATAAAGGGATTTACTAAATCCGGTATAATCGACTTTCCGATTATTAATAAGAGTAAACGAATCCTTAAGGGAATTCTTAATAAGCCTTTAGGTGGTCCGAAGGCTAATTTAGAGCTTAATAATATAGTCGTCGTGGAAGGATTTTATATAAATATTATATCGGAAGCTTTATTATATAAGGTTAGGATCTAGTATTCGGGGTATATTACGCTTTAGAATAACGGAGAAAAGCGTAGTCTTCTTAAAGCTATTTCGATACTTTAATATAATTATCCTTTAGTATAAGCTAATTTTATCTTCTTTTTCTTATTCGTTATTCTAACCGATACTATATAGTATTATTCCGATTAATTATAACTATTAGTATATACTTATTATAATAATCCATTAACCTATAAAAGCTTACCGATACTACCGACCTTCCTATAACCCTTCTTTTCTATAAGTCGACGAAAAATAGTTATAGTACTTAAGAGTAGGCTATCTTAGACTAAATACTCTATAAGTATTAATTTATAACGCTAGGAATATATTAATTAAGGGAACTAAGCGGATAGACTATAGGATATACTCCTAAACTTAGACATGTTAAGTCGTGTCTTAATACACGTTAGAATACCACTCCCTATAACCGTTTTCGCATATTTATTAGAATCTATAAGAGCTGCCTAAAAGCTATAACGGTATAAGATATCTTTTTATAATCAAAGACGAATATAGCGGCTAGATATATATACTACCTTTAGCTTCGAAAAACAGTATTAAGGTCTATAACGCATTATAAGCATTCGAATAATAGGTTAACCAGCAGTTTACTTTATATATCTATAAGATACGTAGTAATAATAAGCCCTTAGTCGTTAACCTAGTAGAGGATTTAGGAACCTAGCTATAGGCGAGTAGTTAAGGGATCGATATAGATATTATACCGCCCTATACCTATAGCGAAAGAGCCGGTTAACTAATTAGTATAAAGTCTAATACTATACTTAACGGAGGAGGATTTTCCCTAGATAAATAGCTACAGAGTACTAGAGTAGTAGCGTTATTATATAATATAAGTCCCATATAAGAATATAGATAACAATCCCTAGTTAAGATATTTAACTTATAGTTTAGAGATAATACGCCGATTCTGATAAAAGAGTATATAGCCGACTTACGCTCTAATTAAAGTAGTCTTTATACCTACGGCTACCGCGCCTATCTAATAATAAGGGTAGAGAGGCTAGGAGAAATAGAAAACTATATAAGGTTTAACTAAGGGGATATATTAAGTATCTTATAGGTTATATTACCTATAGTATATATCGAGTATAGATTCTATAGCTTTAGAAGGTTATTATAACGCGTAATATTATAACCGCGCAGATACAGTTTTGGGGTGGTTCTAATAGCCGGTTATATAACCCTCTTTTTCAAGGCTACGGGATCCATCTCCTATATATATATTAAGGACAGGCTCCGGACATCCCCATTAAGGGACTATCATTCAATTATTATCCTCTTTTATAATTACTTATTCGACGTTTAAGGTATATTTCCAGTTTAACTTACGTTACCCTGATCAGAACAGTGACTACCGATCTACTTCTTCGCTAAAGGTTATAGTGGTGTTGTTTATGTTTTGGTTATGCATCGTGGTTTTGCTGGGTTAATCTCTTTATCTGATCTTTGTCTTGACGATCTAGTACCACTATGTCTTTATCTGGTTATAATATATAGTTTAATAAGTAGCTATTTTATAAATTATAGCTTAAAGAAGTAGCATGGATTCTAGAGCCCGAGGCGAGGAACTAGCTTATAACTTACGAAATATAAGAAAATAAAGATACTACCTTTATTCTATAAACCTACCCTTTAGGTAGATTAATTAATAGCGTACCTTCTAGAGAATAAGCGGAGTCCACGGGTTTGAACTTAGGGATAGGAGTAGTAGAGGTATAAAACAACGCTTCTTCGCTATCTTAATATAGATATACCTAATATACCCGAGCCGCCTATAATAGGACTTTAAACCGTACATGTAATACCTAATCCGTAGAGTAGGAATCTTTAGGTTATAAGCGTAAAGCCGTAGTCTTTGGAGGAACTCTTAATTAATACTTCTTCCGAATAATAAGATAACGGAGCGGCTATATAAGAAGATACCGTACTAGATATATTAGAACTATATATACTAGAGCTTACTACGGATACTTCGATAATTTTAACTATAGAAAGAAGTATATAGGTAATAGTATAAGGATTAGTTACGCTTAATCCCAACCACGGTATTAACCGTACTATAGTATCCGGATCTAGATTATCTATCCGACTAGCTCCTAAGGTAACCGTCTATTAAAGGAAAAAGAGTATGCTAGCTAAGGAAATAACGCGTATTAGCGTAAGAATCACTAATCGCTATACTTAAGGGAAGACTATTCGGATTAATCAATGGATATATTAAGTAGAGCTAGATATACCTTTAACTTATATCTTTTTCTTACCTAATTAATAAAAAGAGTACTAGAACGGACTATAAGGGCTTCTAATCTTTAATTTAATAATCCTTAGAGTAGCCGATATAAAAATAAATACCTATTTAAATAATATAAAAGAGGCTATAATATTACCGAAGCCCTTAATCGATAATAGGTTTATCACGATTACCTAAAGGCTATACTAAGGTATTAGTAAAAGCTTACTAACTACCCGATACGTAAACAGTTTAAGGAAGCCACGTAGAAGGAGGTAAATAAGCTAACTAAGAAGCGTATGGAAAGAGGAATTAAGCGATTAGAGGCGAAGTTAAAGCCTTTTCTATTAAAGTGGGGTTTTATCTATAAATTCGACTAAGATAGATATCTTAAATAATATAAGGCACGCGTATATATTTAAGAGGATTAAAAAGAGAGCTTAATAATTAAAAGAACCTATACAGTAATACTCGCTATATAATCTTTTCGTATTATTATAGCCCTAGCTACTTAGTTTAATCTAGAGATTAAGTACCTTCATATCGTTAACGCCTTAGTTAAGGCCTAAAGGAGTAAAATAGGTAATATCTATTATATATTAACTTCCTAATAGATTTAAGTAGCCCGATAAATACTTAGAG